TCAAGCAATGATCAAGTGTAGTAGAAAATTGTAGAGCAGTACAAACAAGTATTATAAAAAATTATCCCTTACTGCACGGGTACATCTCGGTTTATATTTCGAAATGTATACACATAGGACCAGATAGTTTGTAATTAAGATTCATTGATACTGTGATAAGAGAGATAGCTCTTAATGACATTAATGTCTATTATTCCTTTATAGGTTTGCCAAGTTGAAGTGTCTTTTTTTCCAATTTTGCCCCGCAAGCTATGCTATAAATTGTTTTTATTTAAGAAGGATATGGAGATAACGAACAGTATTCAATCTCAAAGTCCATAAAACAATACAAAATAAGAGGAGAGCAAACACGGACCCCCGAAACATCAGAGGCGGGATCAGGTGCGATGGAGGAGAGAGCATCCCCTGCTGACCGGTCACACCCGCCTTGTGCTCCTTGTCATGATCAGGAAATAACAGAAAAAATACGTCGTCAATTCAGTGTATAAATAATGGACAAACAATTGGTATGAAAAACGTCATTCAGCATTTGACTCAATGATAAATTGTATTTTCTAACAAGGTCATTGTATCGACCATAGAACTTACGAAATGAAGACTTTAAACGAGACTGCTGATATTCTTGTTTCATCAACTTAACTTATTAAATACATTTCTTTTGGAAAATCATTAACAGGACCTGATTAAGGTCCAAGCAACATTCTATATGAGTGAGTAGGGGCTAACATGAACAAATGATGTGAAGTGACAAAGTCTAAACCGACAGATCTAATTTCATAAATAAATACAATATTTCATACTAATTAACTTGACAATCTCTAATAGAAAGTCTATCAGAAATATTGGCATAACACTTGTGATTGATTGAAATTAAAACATTAATTAGATTGGTTAAATAAAGAATTCACAGGAACATTTTCAAAATTAGTGTTTTTATAACCATATTGATTTTATTTTAGTTCCAATTTAAATAATCAATTATTCACATTTTGAAATTTAATTCACTCTCAAGGACAGCTGAAAAAAAATTATGTAATGTTAATATAAGTAAAAAATACATTTTTTCGCATAGTAATATATTTTCCACTCAATTTTCACAATAATTGTCCTTTGAATGACTAAAATTATATACAAAATTTCTTGATTTATTTAAAATTTATTTTTATCTTTAATAACCAAAATACATGTATTCCAAAACAGTCATTTCAATTCAGGCATCTATCTAATTTTTGTATAATCATAACATAAATTTATCATTGAGTCAACTGCTGACTGAAGTTCATACTAATTGTTATCACACACTGACTTTCATACTTATTATCATTACACACTGAATTGACGACAGATTTTCCGTTATTTTCCGATCATGACGAGGAGCACACAGTGGACGTGACCGGTCGCAGAGGATGCCCACTCCTCCATGGAAACTGATTCCACCTCTGATGTTTGAGAGGTTCGTGTTTGATCTGCTCCTATTTTGTGTTTATGGACTTTTGATCTTGAATGCTGTTTGTTTTCCCCATTCATTTCATATTGCCAGATAAAATCTGTGTGACATAGTTTTTGTTATACTAGTACATGTATCATTAAGTAAAATACTGACTTAAGTTTTACATGTCATTTGTGAGGCTCACTTTGTTTAATCACTGAATTATCTACAGATATATTTTTTTTACAAGTATGAAAAGAGAATAAGGCGTTGTGACCTTTCAGGGTATGCCACTACTCCATGGTACTTGATCCAAACTCCGATTTATTTTACATCTGGGTTTGCACTGCCTTCGATTTGGATTTACACCTCTTTTAATTTTGAAATGATGTTTTGGAAGTCAGTGTTTGATCTGCACCTTATTTGTAATGTTTGGAATTTTGAGCTAAAATACTGTTCTTATCTCCATATATTTCACACATGCTCACACAAATAAAACAGATTTTCAAACTACAGCTCAACAAACTTTTTAAGCTCACATGTTTTTTCGCACAAATTAAGGTCACATTGTTGTAATAAAAATTACCATTTTTGAACTGCAGTACAATGGCATAACCCTTCATTATATTACATATATAATGTCAAGCATAAATGTCTTTTAAAATTATTATCTTAAAGTTTCCAAAGTGGATGTTTTAAAGGAAAATTTATAAATAAATGGTCGGATGTTTCGACTATACGATCTTACCATAGGTTTTTGCAAATTGTATAAAACGAGCTTTATTTGATCTCATGTAGTTGAAATTTTTAAATTGTCTTCTTAAAGGTGAGTATTTTTTAAAAATCTATGCTCATTTACCATACTCCTCTTGGTTTCGTCCAAATGTAGCACCGAAAAGCGATAATTTTGCAAAAGGAAACCACATTAAAGGGTAGGATGATGAGGGTATTGTTTATTTTTTTGAATAGTAAATTCCTTCTATGAAAAGGAAAATTCTTTTGCTTTTACGGTCTGAAACATTAAAATTTTGCAGTGGGATGAATCTTTAATGATTCTAGATTTTAGAAGTTTACTCTTAAAAATCCTACCTTATTAACGTAGAAAGCAGTCAAAAAGATGAAAAATACTATTACCATCCCGAGTTAAAGAGTCAAAATGTACAAAAAATACAAGTAACAGTAGCTGTACTGTAACCTTGTCTACGTTTCTGCCAAGAGCTATTGATTTCAAAAGAACCGATAAAAAGACAGTTACAATTGAAAAGAAACTAGAAAAATTCAAATGAGAATAGTTGTTATTTTTCAGCCATGAATATAACAATGTTTTACCGATTGATCTCTTTGAATTATGTTTCAATAAATGAAATAAAACTCAAATTATGTAAACAAATACTTTTAAAATGTATTTTGTTGTCTCAATACACAATATTATATCATAACAATGTGACCTTAATTTGTGCGAAAAACCATGTGAGCTTAAAAAGTTTGTTGAGCTGTATATCTGTAAGGACAATACCTTGCAGTGTGTTAACAGCACAAAACTGAAATTTACTTATTTTCGGAACATTTCGATATCAAGATTTTTCTATGGTAATTTTTTTTCAATGGTTATAAAGGCCAATTAAAATTAAACGGTGTTAAATACTCGTATCTTTATTTACAATATGTACAACAAAGCTGGAGATCACAAAAATAAGTCAATAAATGTAACGTTTCATTCAAAATGCAAAGTGCCTTTTATTAGAGTTAAGTCTTATAAACACAACTAAGAGACACACTTGTACGTTGATCTTTTAATTTAATATTAATGTTTTCTACTGCACATTAAAAAAGCACACATTCTAAAGAATATACTGATGAAAAAAGACAAGACATTGGAAAATCAAATCTTGTTTACAATAGAATCAGGCCTTAATCTCAAAGATATTCAGGATTGAAATAAAACTACAATGTAGCAATATTCATGTATGTTAGTTGTCAATTAGTTCTTACATGTATGATATGATCAATTTTTAAAGCAGTTTGACAAAAACACTTGTGTCTTTATATAAATGAAATATACCCTTCGAGTACGCAAGAAGGTAATAAGATAAACATTATTTTTACTTTTCTTTCATTCTTCTCTTACATCTTACTCGGAATCGTGCGATCTTCATTTAGTGTTACAATATTATTTTTATTAAGAAATCTATCAGGTGTAGAAATATTTAAAATGTTCCCTTAGCTCCAAATCTGTAATCAAAAGAAATCAAATCCGAATACTTCGAGTATTTTTTCAGAAATGAATTTCTTTAACTCCTAATCGTTCCTTTGTCCCTTTGAAGAATTAAATCCATTAACACAAGGGCTTTCTTGTCCTCAGGATTAAAGTCTTGTCTTAATATTGAAAGGAGACGCTTTAACGCCCGAAGGAAGAGGACACGCTCCCTGAGATTATCAGACAAAGGACGTTCTTTAATGTAACTGATATTAGGTTGTTTGTTTTTCTTAACAGTTAGCTATGAACCATCAACATGTCAGGGTTTTATAAAAATATTTTTTCTGAAAATTTCAATTAACATTAAGAAGTTATTGACATTATATTTTTTCTAAATACGTGGTAGTTTTTTCAGTAATAATAAACAAGTTACCTGCAAGTGCAATGTTATAGAATTATTTCACGTATATCATATATTCCATATGTACATATCATACTAGTGTTTTATTCAACTCAGAATTTTGTTCCTTTTAAATAAAATATTTGAAAATAACGAACTGCATTCGAGCTCAAATGTCCATTAAACACTATATGGAGAAGAGCAAACACGAACCACCAAAATTTTAGAGGTGGGATCGGGTGCCATGGAGGAGTGATCATACCCTGCTGACCGGGCACAACCGCCGTAAGCCCCTTATGATCTGGAAATAACAGAAAAATCCGCCGTCAATTCAGCGTGTATATAATAGTCTATGTAAAACATCAGTCAGCATTTGACTAAATGATAAATTGTAATTGATGAAAAGATAATTGTATCAGGCAAAGACCTTACCAAATGATGGTTTTAAACGAGATTGCTGGTACTCTTGTATCAGCAACTCCTATTTCAATAGTTTATTTCGTTTTAGAAATTGTAACGCATGCTGAGAGATATAAATTCCGTACGCAGGTGATGAAGGTAAAGTATTGCATAAGTAAAGGGAAGAATGAAAATTTAAAGTCATCCCGTTCAAAGTAAAAATATCCAAATGTGAAACAGACATGTCAGACTCTGTGGTATTTTTTATTTCAAGTTTACCACTATCAACATTAGATTTGTTAATTGACATATGTCGTCGATATATCTAATTGTCGAGTTGAGGGCCACAGCAAATGCTTTCTTTTTTTTCACATAAAAGATTTTAGACAAATCCTTTCCCTAATCCTGGTAAAATTGGTGCCCAAGGAAAAAAAACATAAGGACCTGTACTCCAAAACCCAAATAGATAAGAAATGGCAAAATTAGAAGTACAGATGCTACAATTTAAATTTATTTTTGAAAAATTAAACTAACAACTTGAGTTATCTCTATACAAGAAATATGAATAACAAGATGTGTTTGTGAAACACTATGCGCCCGGCGGCAACATAGTTCGGAAAAAAGCTATTTTTAGCATTAAGGTCACAGTCAAGGTCACAAGGTCATTGACCTTTGTGTCATTTGGAAGAACCTGATTAGTGGAGTTTGCATACAAAATATGAAGTCTTTATCTTTCATGGTTCAAAAGTTATGGCAAAGGTTAAAGTTTGCAGGAAAAAGCTATTTTTAGCATTAAGGTCACAGTCAAGGTCACAAGGTCATTGACCTTGGTGTCATTTGAAAGAACCTGATTAGTGGAGTTTGCATTCCAAATACGAAGTCTCTATCTTTCATGGTTAAAAAGTAATGGCGAAGGTTAAAGTTTGCAGAAAAAAGCTATTTTTAGCATTTAGGCCACAGTCAAGGTCACAAGGTCATTAACCTTGGTGTCATTTGAAAGAGCTTAATTAGTGGAGTATGCATACCAAATACGAAGTCTCTATCTTTCATGGTTCAAAAGTTATGGTGAAGGTTAAAGTTCGGGACAAACAAACAAACAGCTAGACAGACAGATAGACAGACAGGACAAAAACAATATACGCCCTGGATCTATCGATCCGGGCACATAAAAATATTTCGAAGTATAAATGCTTTGAATATGATTTTATTTAGTATATGACCTTAACCATTATACAAAAAGCATAATTGAAATAGTGTTAACATAATGTTTTGTACATTTTCACAACAAAATAAAAATAAGTATGTATAATGAGTATTATGTAAAAATAATAATCTTAAGAATTCGTTTCTGTTTTGAAAATAGAAGAACGGTTGTAATTTTCTAGTGAATTTCAGTAATAATACCTCTTAAGGATATCCGCTCCGAAACCAGTAGGGACGAATTGTAAAATTAATATTAAATATTGTAATTAATGAAAAAAAACATATTTCTCAAGAAATCTTGTAAAGTTGCCGAGACGTGTAAGATTTAGATAAATTTATAACATGGAACATACCGGTAATTTCCCATACTTTTCTGTTTTAGCTGTTTTATTTTTACAGTATTAACTTATTGCGGCCATTGTAGTTAGATACACAATATTATTAGAAATCAAAGAAACAAAGAAAACAATAAAGAACAACTTGTCAAATGCCAGTCCCACATCATTCCAGGTTACATCGATGTCGCAGGTATCGTTAACACATTCAACTGGTGGTTTTTCTGTGTCATCACAGACCATCACCTTGGTCTTCCTACGCTTGCAGCAAAAATTCATGCTACGAGCAAAATTTTTAAGTCTTGTTGATATTTCCATATCTTCTGTTTTATGGTAGAAGTGAAGTCCAATCACTACGGCTATAACCATAGAACATCCTAACAGCATGTCCACCAGTAGTTTGTATGTGAGGTTCGCCACACTCGGCTCTGATGCTTCTGGTAGCTTGTCCTGAATAATGGTAAGGAAAACAGCTACGGCCAAAAGCACTGTAATGGAAAAACCCATCCTCTCTCCCGACTCCATTGGCAAAATAAACACCAATATTTGAATGAAGTTCATCAAACAGATCGGCAGTATCAGACCAGCGATATAATATGTAGTCCGTCTTTTCATGTTTATCTCAAGTCGAAGTTCTTCAAAACCGAACACGTTAACCTGGTAATAAATGCGAGTGCTTGTAATAGACCACAGTCCATTTTCTTCGTATAAATCCATTCGAAATGTAGGTAAGGCAGGTCTTAGAAGAATATCTGACATAGAATATCCAGGAACGTAAAATTTCAATGTGCACGTCTGCGAATCAAAGGGATAATAAGTGACGTCAGCATCGCACGTGGCTTCATAGAGGTTAGGAGGCAGACAATTGACATATCCCCCATCTGTCACCGTGCAAGACATTTCATCTAAAAGCACTTTCTTAAGTTTGGCAAAAGGATTCATCAAAACTAAAAATGGGACCCAAATGTCGGAGGTAAATAGCGTAGTTACATACAAGTCACCTCCATAAGTCGACGGGTTCCAAGAAAGCCGAGAATCTATCCACTCAAGTCCCAATGACCCCACGATTCCAATCTTACTTTCGGCCTCTGAGAATTCCTTCAAACTCGCAAAGTAGAAGTTAAACTTGATAACTATGGGGAGGGTTCTGTTCTGGCCAGGTCTCACTCTCCGATCGTATCCCGAGGCCAGGTCCGAGTGTAGCTGTGTTTGTTGTGCTATCGTGTATCCCTCCGCGGATAACACTAAGCAAAGGACCAATAGCACAACTTCCATCTTTTCACGATCGATTTTGTATTAAAACTGAGAACGTATTCAACAGATTTTCAGTAGTTTAAATGGTATTTGTGCTTAATAGATCATATCTGACAGTTTAATAGTTTACTGTCCATTTAAAGAGACCAACGTCAATTAGATCCTCGGTTGTAAGTTACAAAATTGTTGTCAAAATATTGGTAAAAGACGATTATATTGTATTAAGAAAAAAAGAACTCAGATTGTGTTTTTTCCTATATTATGATGTAAGGAGAAGTATGTTTTTCTCATTTTTTAAATGGACAATTTATTTTGAAACGTTGCCATCAGATGTTTTTACCTTATAAAAACTACTGGAATTGTGATAATTGGAATCTTTTGTACTTAGTCATTATTCAGCAATTCAGAATTACGCGTAGTACATGGTAAATAAATTGTATTTTATGTATCTGGAATCATTAATTCCCTAAAGTCGAAGTTAACAAACCAGGACCTGGCACTCTCATTACCGGTATTTGATCACCAGAGTGGTATTTTGTACTTTGCAATGAATTAAAACATATGGAGATAACGAACAATATTCAAAATCAAAAGTCCAAACAATACAAAATAGGAGCAGAGCAAACACAGACCTCCAAAACATTAGTGGTGGGATCAGGGCCATGGAGGAGTGAGAGAACATAATTGCAAAAATGGTTTACATTAGATGTTTTAAAAGAAAAAAAAGAAACATATTCAATTGAAGTGAAAGAATTTTAAAAATTTATTATATTCAAGTATCTAATTTATGAAGAATGTTGCCAAGGACAATGACTCTTTCTCATGCATCTTAGTTTATGCATTTCCTTTATTATTCCTTCTAATGTTAAATTGCTTTCTCTGAAATTCAAACATTTTTAAAAGTAGCATCATGGTTTTTATTTTCAGCATTCAAACAATGCATTTGGAATAATACCCCCCCCCCCCGGAACTTGATGTGAAAAATTGTCGAACTGAACGTAAAACAACATATACGATCAATTAACCAATTAAAACATTATGATGCTGTTTTCCAAAACTTTACAATTCCTTTACATTTCTATTTATTTTTGTTTGACATCTTAAAAAAATGTGGCAAACTTTGTGCCAATGATCAAAGGGTTGTTGTTTTAATAAAGCAAGGTTAGGGGATGTCAAATCTGAATTTATTTTTATAATGGTTTTATGGTTTGTATACATTCAATTTTATCAAAAGTCCCAGACAAGGTGATTTCCTTAAATATTGGGACAAATGAATGCAATTTTGATATCTGGATTATCTTGAGGAAATCCTTGAAAAAAAGGATATTGTTTTTATAATAATTTATGTACATATTATATATAACATTCTTTTTATTTATCATTATATGTAAAGAATGTTAAATAAAATTTAATACATTTTTTCTACTTTGAGCCATTATCATCATGATGGTAAATTATAAATCCTTATACATTCGTACGATTAGTGCATGGTGGGAGATATTCCCCTGACAAGTAATTAACTAACCAAACTGGCTTCTCTTAAAAAATTTAATTTGTCGCTTTTGAAACTTGAATAACCAAACATTATATTGATAGTTCCATAAAGTATTATGACGTCTGAGAAATTTAAAGATAGGTTTAAACTTTACAATTAATATATTTGAAACATGTCACGGTGTCATTCCTTTCTATATTCCCACAGATCTTAAGTTTGTCTTACAATACACAGAAAATAGCTTCACTCATAGAAAGGAAATGATCCCCATATCAGGGCGGACGTTTATCTTGATCCCCAAGTTCTAAAACTAGCTGTCAATTGTTTATTGTGTGTAGAAATCACGACTCGTTTATATTTAACATAAATATATGTTTCATAACCCTCAAAGCAGTTTAAATGTTTAAAGAAATCAATATTGAATTCAAACAATCTCTTTATGAACTGGTTAATAAGGTTCAAAAACACAATACAAATATTTCTAGTACAGGGCAACTATAAGTTCGCAGACATTAACATTTTGATAATGAAAATGGAATTAGTTTTCTAGTTTCCGTAGATATTAACGATGATTTAAATAGTTCATGATTTTTTTATCATGAAAAAAACTGATCCTGATCTTTAATTCAAAATTGTTTTCTGAATTTTCTCCATAATAATTTGAATCCAATTGAATAAAAGAAACATGATTATCAGATATTTTACGATTCATATCACAATAAATTTAACCAGTATCTTTAAATGGGGTCTAGACAAATGCTCTGATAAACTGCATGATAAATTTAAGAAAATTAATCTGTTTACCAAAAGAAAATGCAGTAACATACCCCGGTATTCTGCATCTGAACCTAATATGATAATTGTTCGCCCTATTTGCATCATTTTTGGTTGGAGTTTTAATCAGTGGGAATTGACTTGACCTTAAAACTTGAACCTAACTAGGCTGAGTCTAATTAATTCTACCATCCAATTCTAACTTTTTTATAATGCATACATTCTGCCATCTTTAAATTATTGCTTAACTATATGGGGCAACGCTCCAGGTGCTGGCATAGAAAGAGTTTTTAAATTACAAAAAAGAGCAGCAAGAATTATATTAGATGCGGCACCAGATGCTCCATCACAACCATTATTTGTGAAACTTGATTGGCTGACTATATATGAATTAATAGATTTTCACAAATACATACTACTTTATAAAACACTTCATGATATGACACCTGATTATCTGAGAGACTCGTTTGAATTTATTTCCTCTAAAAATTATGTTTTACGTTCTGAATCCAATTATGACCTTAGTCTACCAAAGTATCGAACAAATCTGTTTAAAAATTCTTTTCAATATTAATTTATGGAACAAATTACCTCTACATGTACGTTTTTCCCCAACTGTACAATCCTTTCGTAAAAATGTGGAAAAATTTATCATCAATGGACGCAACATTTCCTAATTTGTAACTTTTTCTATGTTTTGATAATACATTGTATATACTATCTTTTTTTCAAATGTAATTCACATGTGTAATATACTTGTAATTTTTCTGATTATTGTACTGTTTTATACATAATTGTACTATCCATGTATAGAGGGCCCCGAGGAAGACTAGTGCATTGCACTAATCGGGTTACCCTCTTTAAATAAAGTATTATTATTATTATTATTATTATTATTATTATTATATGACAAACTTAACAGGGGGGGAGGCTCAACTCCAGAAATTCTTTGACAAGCAAAAAAAAAAAAAAGGTCATCAGACGGTTTTTATGAGGGGGCACCAGCATATAGTACCTAAGTTTTCTATAGTATTCTATATATTGCCAACCCTCCAACCCTCAATTCCAAAGCCTTAAGGCCATGTGTGTTAAATAAAAAAATATTAAGATGTACATATAATATCCATGGGCGAATACAGGATATGTAATACAGGGGTATGGCATGAAATGAAATTAGTCATATCACACTTCGAATGGTGGGGCACTTTGGGTATAGAGACCCAAGAAACGTGTAAAGGGTAACAGGGAAGGACCAACAGGGAATGCCTTGAGGGATTGAAAACAGTAGGAATATGTATTTTGTACTTTTTAAAAATTTAGATGACATTTTGCATTATTTATTGAACGACAAATAATTTTGTCTATTGTTATGCATTTCAAACGTGTTTTTGCATGTATTTTCATTCACCTATTTCATTTTATTTTCATTTTTCTGATAAATGCAGAGAATTATACCAAACGTAATCTTCGCTAAGTAATTAAGTAATTATAAAAAAATAAAAGCAAAATGCAACATAGCTTGTCACAAGAATTATTCATCTGCAATTAAATTCTCTAGAGAGTATGGTTTTTCAGGTAACATAATCAATTGAAACCTTAATTTTATTTCAGCATATGAATCATATAGGGAAACCATTTTGTGTAAAAGATTTACTAACGGATAGTGAACGACAGATATCGCCGAGCAAACATACGAGTGGTTTTAAATTAATCCTCGTTAATTAATAGAATAGGAGGTTAAATATATAGTTGTTTCTTTTTGAAATAAGATTCGAATAAATCCTTTCTGACCACAGAGCAGCATTTCGAAATTCACTACAGAGACTAATATGCAGGATGCATAGATTAATTATTTTCATTATTCTGAGCAATATTCATATTATTTGGTGCTACACCATAGCACAGGAAACTCAACTTCACACAGATTTATTTAATGGTTACCAGAAGGCAATTAGACCAGGGGCAGATAGAACAAAACCGCTCTCCATCACAGTGAACTTTGTCTTAATCAGCATAAAGGAGTTCAGTGAGGAAGAGAGTAAACTAGCCGTCATCGGAGCATTTAAGTTCAGTTGGTCGGACAATCGTTTAGCCTGGGACAAGAAAAAGTATGGTGGTGATTTAGAAGACACATCTGTTTTGCAAGAGACAGTTTGGATTCCAAATGTAGTTAACTTGAATTGTTTTTCCACCATGAAACCTTTGGGTTCTGACTCTCTTAGTGTCAGAGTCTATGATACTGGTGTAATATCCTGGATCCCTCCGGTTCTCATTGAGAGCACGTGTGACGCTGATGTGACGTACTACCCGTTTGATTCACAGACATGTTTGATGAGATTTTATATTCCCGGCTTCTATCCGTCTGATGTAATTTTTTCTCCGGGGTACTCCGAGGCTGACATGAGTCAATATGAAGAAAACAACCTCTGGAAGATTACAGCTACCAGGGTGGACGCGGTTCTGAATTCATTGTCTTTCCAAGAACTTCGTATTCATATTGAGATGACCAGGCGGTCCAGTTACTATATTGCTGGACTGATTCTTCCAATCTGTCTGATGAGTTTTCTCCAGATAATGGCCTTCATTCTTCCCGAGGAATCAGGAGAAAGGGTCGGTTTTTCCATCACCGTGTTGTTAGCGGTAGCGGTGTTTCTTACAATTATCCAGGAAAATCTCCCGGAGGCTTCAGAGCCAAGCGTCTCTTTGTTAGCTTACAAACTCTTGGGAGACGTTTTGCTAGGAGCGGTAATTACAACGTCAGTTATATTTGGCTCTGCTATTTATCATAAGGACGAAACGAGTCCTATCCCATCAGCTATAAAAAAGCTGGTTCCATGCTGTAAAACCTGCTGCAAGAAATCACCTAAAGTGACGGTTGTGGTGGTTGAGAAAAAAATACAACCGGAAGACGCTCTTAGTGAATCGCAGGATGATGACGTAATGTCCTGGAGAGATGTCGGAAAGTGGTTTGACAAATGTTGTCTTTTATTTTTTACTCTATGTCTGTCAGTGAATAATATCGTTATTATGATTTTTATCGCAAGTGCTAAATAAAAAGTATCGATTTCGATCAAAATGGCCGCCATTGCTTACTTGATAGAACATTAGAGCAAATATAATATTGGGTATTTTGATAGTCATCTACTATATGTTTATTACTTGTAACACTAAATGGTGAGCATGTGAACTTCATGCTTTGCAATCTTTATGTAAAAATAAATGCACATCATGAAACCGATTCTAGAGTTAATTAAGATTCCCAAAGGACAACAAGTAAGGTAAAAAAAGAGAGAAACCTTGTTCCAAAGATTTATTATTTATTTATCACATTTTTACAGACAAACAATTTTAAATCTCTGATTATTTATTTACCACATTTTCACTGACAAACAACTTTGGATTTCTGATAAATATTGTCATGACAAAAAAATTTACTTTTAAAATACGTTTAGAGCTGAAAACTGTTTATATAGAGGGTATCTATATTGTATGATTTGATATCGGCTCTATCCAACAAGTTGAAATGGTGTATGTATTTGCGAGGCTTGCCGAGCGAATATACACCATTTACCATTTCAACGAGTTGCATAAAACCAATATTAAATTACCCAATCATTGTACACCACACAGTATAGAGGGTACATCACACAGTATAGAGGATACACAACAAAATATCGATACGTTGTACCAAAAGATATCCGAAAATGCAAGAAAGAGATAGTTAAGACTTTTAACATTTATGATCATAGAATTTTGACAAAGGAAAACAAAATATTGCTTTCAGATAGGTACCCTATTTTCCTACACATGCCTCAGTCAAAATACGAGTTGAATGTACCAAGTGTTTATCAAAATCAAATGTTTTTATAAAAGAGAAAAAAATTGATAAACTTGTTTAATGTCTGACTAAACAATTGGGTGCACTTTTTAAAGCTGAGAGATAAGATCAGTAATGAAAATAGGGAAAAAAGACAAAGGTGTCATTTCATTTTGGTGAGGAGAAGCAAGGGCACCAAACATGTCTTTTTTTAATTATTTTTCTTGTATTTCAGTAAGTCCAATTGAACTTCTACATACATCCAAACGACGGACTATCAAATGTTAATTCTATATCAAATTGCGCTACAGAAAATTAAACAGATTTTCTGCAAAGGAAGTCCAAATATCGCTTTCTAGTGTAATTTACCTGTTCCTAGCAAGTAAACAGCAAAAAAGCTTAAAGAAATCAGTAAGATTTTGAAGAATAGAAAGAACACAGAGCTTTACCATCACACACATTTGCTATCTCACTCATTGTGAGATCATTTTATTCCCAAAAAAAGCAAGAAAACTAACAAATGAGGATTGGAGAGTAGCAGATAAGTCTTGGAAAATGATATTTATCAGTGTCTTCGGGGCATCCCTGAAATTAAGAATATTGAGGTTTTTCGTTTATGGATGCAAATACCTAAGCCATATGTAAATGGTAACAGGGAAAGCCTGGAGGGTTGAAACTAAAAGGAATATTTATTATATTTCTTTTAAATCTAGATAATATTTGCTTTATTTATTGAATGATCCTTGTAGCTATGCATTTCAAACGTATTGATGTATGCGTTTTTACTAGGGATGTCAACGAATATTCGAGTACTCGACTATCGTTCGATCATACGGACTATCGACTAAAATTTCTTTAGTCGGTTATTCGTTAAAAATGTGTTTCATCGAAGTAATTTTGATTCAAGGCAATAAACGTATATTTGCCCATTTCATTCATTTACGGATCAATATTTTCATATGTAAAATTAAGGGTATGGTACATGTATAACTGTTCAAAGGAAATTATTTGCACGTTGATGTATGTTCGGCAAACATGTCTTCAAAATCTACAGTTTTGGTATAGTAAAAAAAACAGTGTTATCAAGGTTATGCAGAACTTGTATTCTGCAGTGTAACATCAAACATGATGTATCATATGCCGAATCAGTCAAACATATACATCGTCTTCAAGTGAAATTTTCCTAATAAAAGTAAGTTCTCCGCAAAATGCCAAAAAAGCAGATTGGGAAAGAAAATCAAACATATTTGATATGATTGTCTACCTCTTATTACTGTTTTAAATGGAGAGGGTAATTGTTTAGTTTTATAGATTCAAACTAAGTTCTGACGTGATATAACTATTCAGAAAGAATATTAATTAAACAGCTAATACAAAATTGTAAATACATGTAAATTGGGGGCAGTCGTGAGAGTAATTAAACCGTGTTTTCTTTTTCTGATATTAATTTCATACAATCATTGATAGTTTGCACAAAATTTCTAATTAAAATTTATCCCAAGCTCTCCCTTTCTCTTTGTTTTTATAAGAGACACGCTTTAATTGTTTACCTGTCAAAGGTCATTGACGGACACGAAGAAATTGGCTTCAATTATAGTATAGGGTACATGTACCACCGTTATGTAAAGAAAGGACAAATACGAGCGTTTGATATCCTGCATTTAGATAAAATGTGCAGCTAATATATTAATTTTGAAATTAGATACATATTGATGTACAGTTTTCATTGTACTACGTACATGTTTACTATTCAGAAATTTGTTTTATAATGGTGATACCGTAGGTTAAATATTGTAAACTAGTCTGTAAAAGACAATCAGTGAAGATTATATGAAAAAAATACATGTAATTAAAATTAAACGAATATTCGACTATCGTTCGACTAAAGCATCCGACTATTCGACTAAGCTGTCCGAGTAAAATTGACATCCCTAGTTTTTACTCATTTATTTCATGTTATTTAATTCCTTCTCATACATTCAGATAATTGTACCAAACACAAACTTCGCTCTATCCAAAAGAATTCTATTAACTTAGGCAGATTGCAACATAGCTTGCCAAAAGAATTATTCATCTGCAATTAAATTCTCTAAATACTAGTGGATAGGGTTAGGGTTAGGGTGGATTTTTTTAGGTCACATTTTAAATTGAATACTTAATTTTATTTCAGTATATAAATCATAGAGCGAAACCATTTTGTGCAAAAGATCTAAAAACGGACAGTGAATGACAGATATCGCCGAGCAAACATACGAGTGGTTTAAAAGTAATCCTCACCAATTAATAGGATAGGAAGTTAAATACACAGTCGTTTCTTTTTAAAAATGGTTCGAATAAAGCCTTTCTGACCACAGACCAGCATTTCAAAATTCACTACAGAGACTAATATACAGGATGTATAAATTAAGTGTCTTTATTATTCTGAGCAATATTCATATTATTTGGTGCTACACCATAGCACAGGAAACTCAACTTCACACAGATTTATTTAATGGCTACCAGAAGGCGATCAGACCAGGAGCAGATAGAACAAAACCGCTCTCCATCTCAGTGAACTTTATGTTTATCAGCATCAAAGAATTCAGTGAGGAAGAGAGTAAACTGGCCGTCATCGGAGCATTAAAGTTCGGCTGGCAGGACAATCGTTTAGCTTGGGATAAGAACAATTATGGCGGTGATCTAATGGACACATCTGTTCTGCAAGAAACAGTTTGGATTCCAAATGTCATCAACCTGAATTGTTTTTCCACCATGAAACCTTTGGGTTCTGACTCTCTAAGTGTTAGAGTCTTTGATAGTGGTGCAATTTCCTGGATCCCTCCGGTTCTCATTGAGAGCACGTGTGACGCTGATGTGACGTACTACCCGTTTGATTCACAGACATGTGTAATGAGATTTTATATTCCCGGCTTCTATCCGTCTGATGTAATTTTTTCTCCAGGGTCCTCCGAGGCTGACATGTTTCAATATGAAGAAAACAATCTCTGGAAGATTACAGCTACCAGGGTGGACACGGTTCTGAATTCATTGTCTTTCCAAGAACTTCGTATTCATATTGAGATGACCAGGCGGTCCAGTTACTATATTGCTGGACTGATTCTTCCAATCTGTTTGATGAGTTTTCTTCAGATAATGGCCTTCATTCTTCCCGAGGAATCAGGAGAAAGGGTCGGTTTTTCTATCACCGTGTTGCTAGCGGTAGCAGTGTTTCTTACCATCATCCAGGATAATCTACCAGAGGCTTCAGAACCAAGCGTCTCTTTGTTAGCTTACAAACTCTTGGGAGACGTTTTGCTAGGAGCGGTAATTACAACATCAGTTATATTTGGCTCTGCTATTTATCATAAAGAAGGAACGAGTCCTATCCCATCAGCTATAAAAAAGCTGGTTTCATGCTTTAAAACCTGCTGCAAAAAATCACCTAAAGTGACGGTTGTGGTGGTTGAGAAAAAAATACAACCGGAAGACGCTGTTAGTGAATCGCAGGATGATGACGCAATATCCTGGCGAGATGTCGGAAAGTGGTTTGACAAATGTTGTCTTTTATTTTTTACTCTGTGTTTGTCAGTGAATAATATCATTCTTATGATTTTTATCGCAAGTGCTAAATAATATGTATCGATTTTTGCCTCAGCGTACTAGTTAAGACCTTAAACACATTTAATTTTGGATATTTTGGTACAATTATTTACTGTAGTTTTATTACTTGTAACACTAAATGGAGAGCATTGGCTGACAATCTACAAGTAAAAAAATTCTAAAATTATTTTATTATGTATATTGTTATGCATCATTATGATTTTGTATCATTGTTGCGGAGTTTTTCCTTTGGAGACCAGTGTGTTTTTATTTTTGATACATCATGACTTACTGTAACTGTATACGCAGCATTATGTATATCTTGTCTGAATACAACGCATGTACCTTGCATTCGAATAAACGGTACAGAGTCAGACACATCTATTTCAAATTTAAAAATGAATATTTTACTAGCAAGTGATCCCATCTCTGTTTTCGAGGTCCGTGTTTGCTCTGCCCTATTTTGTATTGTTTAATGGTCTTTTGAGCTTGACTACTATTTGTAATTTCCATATTTTCTTCAAAAAGACGCTAATTATAATCAAACAACAAAATTATATGGTAACCGTAATGACTTAATTTTTTCTATCGTCGAATTCCCTTACTCACAAAGACAACCAAGATGATAATACAAGATGATAATCAGTCTCGTTTCGAACATTCTATGTTAGATATATTATGATTTTATTGGCAAATGAAATCACCAGAGACGTAGAAACTGAAAGGGAAAGCCGACTTGTAAGTTTATCGATATCTAGTTCCTTTTTTTGTTTTAGATTTTGAATTTGCTGCTCATAATGAATTGACTCCAGCTTTGTGATTAGCACTTTTTCTTCCCTTGCATCAGTATTTCACTATCAACACATCCCTGCGATCGACGATTGTATTTCCGAGAATTCTCCAAAGTTATTGATTTTTTTTTAAAAAATTAAAGTTATAACAACTGAAGTAATATTCTTAGAAATATGAGTAAAGTCCATTCTATAATCAACCACAGCATAAGCAACAACAACAAAAAACATATTTCATTGAACATAAATAACCTATTGAAAATATGTCGGTATTGTGCGTGACGCTTTGTGAAAATAAGCATATGGTACTGATGCAGAAGTGTTTCATGAAACATATTGAGAAAAAGAACAGAATTCAAAATCAAAAGTCCATAAATCAATACAAAAAAACAGGAGCAGAGCAAACACGGACCTTTAAAACATCAGAGGTTTGAATTAGGTGCCATATAGGACTGAGCATCCCCTGCGGACTGGTCACACCCGTCATGTGCTCCTTGTCATGACCGGGATTAGTTAGTAAACAATTCTATCGTTTAGAATAAAAATTGACTGACGTTCAATTAAATGAACATAATAACACAGCGGGTGGTACCGGTGATCAGGGGATGCTCACTCCTCCATTGCAGCTAATATCTATGTTTGCTCTTCTCCCAATTCGTGTTGGACATTCCATTGAAATTATGAGCTTTATTACCGTACTATATATATCAGCATATTTTGTCTTAATAGTAAATTTAAATATTAAAAGAATAAATTATTGAAGTGACATAATCTGAATTTTGTAAAACAGCTTTAGAATTACTTTTTTACTCAGCAGCTTTGGTTTTTCTACTTCATTTATATTTTATTATTACTAATATATTTATTTCTTGTTTGCTTTCGCTGACACTAAATATACGGACTTGTGGATTTAAGTTAAATGTCATGACCACAATTGGTACAGAGGTACTCAAATACTTTCCCTCAAGACTCCTTGTTAAGTTTGGTTTTATTTTGAACTGTGTATGCAGTTCATGACATTTTCCCTGTGTTGTGCTAACATTCCCTTTTCCTGGTTCAGTAAATAGTTCTAACAATAATCTCATGTTTCTTTAAGATTATTTTACCAAAAAGGGTTTTTAAGCTCTTTAAAAGACTGAGGAGGATTAATGCAAGTTCAACTTATGTGACTTTTATGAAATGAAACCGAGACAGAAAAAACTCACGTGTCATTGAGCAAACATTTATGATTTTACTAACCACTCGTTTTCGTAATTTATTTCGCGGAGACATTGTCTGATATAACCATCATTAATTGCATGAAATATATGGTATTGCTTCAAAATTCATCATTAAGAATAATGAAATAATATAGAGTAAATTATTAAATCTCTAATTTTTTCAGGAATTGCGAATCAAAGTAACTTCTTTAAATTTTCTGTTTGAAATTTGACCAGCAATTATTTTTTAACGTAAAAGAATTGAAGGTACTAGTATTCAGTTATTTAGAAAAAAAAAAATACCAGTTGCATTGATTTTTGTACTTCATAGGGGTACAACTGTCAAATTTTAAAATGGCTCAATGAATATTGAATTTTATTGAGATGCATAAAATGAAAATTGTTGCATGAAAATATTTCAATTTCAAGCTTAATTTTGATACTTTTTTCTTAAAAAAGTTACTATTCTTAGAATTATCCTTCCTGGCTGAGGATCCTTAAAGGGACATAAAATTAATTCATAATGGTCATGCAAAAATTCTTTATATTGGTTGAATGACAAACAATTTTTATCACTTTCGGAGGACAATACTTGTTAAAAATTGCAAAAAAATCATGTTATTGCAAAGTATTATTTTTTAGGAAGTTATGTGTTACATGACCTTACCAAAGGCCTTTTAGTCTCCTCAGAGTCTCCTCAGTCAGATTAATAAAGGAAAATTGGTGTTTAAAAGATCGTAAAATCCAATTCTTTCTCTAAGTAGGATTAAAGCGATCAAAAGCCCTGTGGACATTACATCACAAATAATGGACATTCTCTCGCAATTTCTTTTCGAAACAATACTACACAGTAAAGTTTTTTCCCTGCAAAAGTAGGAAAATTAAATTAAAAGGGAAGATAAAAATCGGTGATTTAAAAAAAAACAGCAAAATAAATTTGACAGTAGGGTTAAAAACAGGAACCCCTGACATTGCAGAGATGGGACCTGGTACCAAGGAGTAGACATCCCCTGTTGACCGGTCACACCGCCATGAACTCTATATATTGATAAAATAGACGGGACATTCTTTAGATAATTACTACAACAAAGGCCTAACAATTGGCATGAAACTAGTCAGTCAAAATACTACACAACGATAGCAAAACAAGATCACTGTAACAAGGAAACAATCTACGAGATATTAACTTAAAACGATTTTGCCGATATATTGATATGGAAGGCGAAAAGGTTATTCTCTCTACATCTTAATCAAAAATCCTCACTAATTATTTAACTAGGACGCGTGTTTGCTTCGTGAGTCTAGATCTTTGGCCATTGAGCAGTATTTCACGTGCAAATTGGTATAGGACTACGGATCATACCAAAATCGTTTTAACTTAATCCTGCAGCGGGATGCAAGCCTGTGACTTTAGATTAATCTCTTTACCCGGCGACTCTAGAGTGTAAAACTTTAACCACTGCGTTATACAGGCTTTGCAAATAGTATCAAACTGTAGCATAAAAAATATTTGATGACAAGGTACAAGAAAGATAACTCTAACAAACATATTGCCATCACGGTATAAATGAGAACCTGTCCTGATATTTATTTTCAAAGTGAAAATGAGCATACTAATTTTTTGCTGGACCTCAATTTTGCAAACGACAAGTTTTTTTATTCAATTTTTTTTGTTCTTATAATTATAGACATTTTCATATTAAGGGGGCCGACTATAGTTTCCATTGCGCAATATTTCGCGCATCATAGTAAGGCCAGGTAAAATTAATCTTTAGATTCTCATCCTAATTTGCAAAAAAATTGGGGCGGGTGGGCGGATTTTATTTTTTATTTTTTATAATTGTTAATTTAAATATAGGCCTAAGTATCAACAAAACAATGGACGCCCCGTATACACATTTTTTTCATTACCTTAATGCAAATATGAATAGATTTAATTCTTTTCATATTCTTTTAAATATTTAAAGAAAATTTTTGCTTTCAAAGTTAAATATTTATTATTAATTAACAAATTATCAAGTACACATTATACGGCACACCCTTGAGGTGGGGATACCAATAAATTGTGTATGCGTGACTTCTTATTTTGCAAAATCTATATAAATGTTCTAATTATTCTACTGAAAAAAAGTTTGTTACGATGGTGTAGATTTTTTTTTTATTTCAAAGCTAAGTCACACAGCTGGAGATCGTTATATATAACTTGACCAGGTGTCATTTTCCTCGCCTATTTTTACTTAGTTACAATCTCTCTACATACTTGCTCCTGCCAGTGATGGTATCTATATGTGTTAAATATGCTATTTTTTTTTTCTCTGCATTCTCTATACTGACAAATTATCTTTTCCTTACACATTTTTGCTTATATTACATTCTTCACATGGCGTTTTTGCTATAAATAGCGACACGCGACTTTTAATACAGACGGGAGATAACTCTTAAACTTTGACCCAAATTCTTACTGAATAAAAATACATGAAAATACCCAAAATTCAAAATAAAAAACATCGGGGCGGGACATTTTGAGAGGGGCGGGCGGGGATGAGAATCTAAAGATTAATTTTATATGGCCTAAAATGAAGCGTATTTACTGTTTTAATGCAACTTTTTTCACTAAATTATTAAAATTAAACAAAATTAAGAAATTATAGGTATAAAAAAGTAATAACAATTTGATACAACTGATTTTTCAACCGATTTTGCAATTGATAGGTACGCGTAGGTTGACGTCGTTGCAGTGTGTTTTTGACGTTATGATAATCTGTAGCTCTTAAAGAAAGGGGCAATAAAAATATTATTTTAAAAAAAGTAATAAACATACGCATTTGAAAATTAAAACATAGAAATTTGAGAATATCTCCAATATTTTTATTATGTTTTCATGTGAATCCATTGTGTACGTCATATTTTGTAATACTCTATAAAAATAGTAAAATTTGCTAATTTTTTTGCATTTTGAGATGCTCCCTCTGGTAACAAGACGGTAGAATTTTTTGTTTCTTACATATAATGTATGATATAGTATTACTCATCAAATATTATAGTTTGAACAAAATGTCTATTGTAGTATTTGTATAATTTGCTTTAAAGTGCTAAAAATTGGCATTTTCCTATATAATCCTATAGTAAATGTACCCGTATTTTGAGACGGTCCCTCAAAAATACGTGGA